TCCCAATTCAGATACTCCTTCTCCCCTAACCTCTGCACATCTGGATTGCAACCACTCTGCTCCCTCCCCCACATGTGGAGCAAAGCTGCCCTGCCCTGCCCTGTCCCACCCCACCCCTGCCCCGTGTATCTGGACTGGGACCAAGACTGGGCTGCTTCCCCCTGCTATCCCCGCACATCCAGATTAGAGCCACTCAGCTCCACCCCAGACGGACAAATCAAGGTCAGGGTGTGCAACCACCACAGCCGGATCGACCAGATGTGGCTAGCAAAGGAACATGGCACCACCCATCTGACCTGTGGGACGAAAAAGCTGGGCATCACTGTCCCTGATCACGGGAAACCCCAACACTGGTGATCTGTCTCAGTTACAGTTCTTTAGCTCCAGTTCAGAGTAATGTTGAAGTTAAAGGAGAAGCTTTTAAAAGTAAAAACAAGCTACCGTTTTTTTCTGTTCCTCTGGCATGGTATCTAGTTTTAATCTATGGGCTGCGAAAGAAGATGCAAGATCAGTATTCAAAGTTGGATGACTAGTGAAGACTACCAATTCTGCATTTAGACAGTCAAAACCCATAAATACCTATTTTGGGCACTGACGCACGGGTGTAAGAGGTCAGAGTTGGTACTTCTGTTTTAAAGTTTGACTCAGGGACTAGATACCCTGCTATCAGTGGTGAATACATTGAAACTGGTTGAACCATGGGGATAATTGCTGGACAGCTTTATTTTAAGAAAAGCACATATTAATTTGCTATCTGCCCCATCCCTGGTGCAACCAACCATCACAAAAAGTGCAAGGAGTTTTAAAACTTCAAGGAAACCTTTCACATGCTATGTATGATTTACAGATGTGCCCCAAACAGAATGATAAGTGGTAATTACTAAGGAAGTGATGCCAAACACATCAGGCACCATCTTTATAGACAGAAACCAGAACAACAACTGTTTACCTGAAATTGTACCAAGAACAAGTATGAGTGAATTGCTGAGGAGGAGCAGCAATTGGAGGGAAAAATTTATCCTGACCTGCAAGAGGGAAGGTTTTTTTAGGATGATGTCTTTCATTGGACCAACTATGTAGTTGGGATAGAAACAGACAAGCTTTTGAATGCAAGACATTATTCCTCAGGTCTGAACATAAAGGACACATGCCGGATGTCTGCTCTGACTTGATTAAACACATGTATTCAGTGTCCCCACACTTCAAAGTGGCAGCGGGGGTGCTTTAACTAAAACTCGTGAAACCCCCACTGCCATTTTGAAGCGCAGGATGCTGAATACACATGATGCTGTGGGCGCTTTAGTTAGAGTGGCTCCCAGAGCTGCTCTATTTAAAGTATTCCTCCCTGCACCCTGGAGCACATGTAAAATGCCCAAAGAGCCAGGAACAACACAAACGTATATTTTAATAGTGTACCATTAATAGGAATTTTGCCATTGATTTCACAGATTCATAGATTCCAGGGTTGGAAGGGACCTCAGTGGGCCATCTAGTCCGACCCCCTGCCCCTTGCAGGGATGAAAAGGGTCACCAAACCTAGGGTCATGTGATCCAAGCCAGGTGCCTGTCCAGTCTCCTCCTGAAGACCCCCAAAGACAGGGCGAGCACCACCTCCTTTGAGAGCCCATTCCAGAGCCTGGCAACCCTGACCGTGAAGAACTTTTTTCTAATGTCCAGTCTAAACTTTCTCTCCAGTAGCTTATGGCCATCACTTCTCGTTATTCCAGGGGGTGCCCTGGTGAACAGATCATCACCTACTTCATGTTGCTCCCCACTTATTAATTTATATGCTGCCACAAGGTCCTCTCAGCCTGCTCTTGGAGAGGCTAAAGAGGTTAAGGTCCCTTAGCCTTTCCTTGTAGGGCCTTCCCTGCAGGCCTCCAATCAGATGAGTGGTTCTTCTTTGGACTCTCTCCATGTTGTCCGTATCCTGCTTGAACTGCACTGTCCAGAACTGGACAGTACTCCAGCTGCAGCCTGACCAGTGCCGCGCAGAGAGGCAGAATCACCTCCCGGGACCTGTTTGTGAAGCACCTACGGATGCACGACAAGGTGCGATTGGCTCTGCCGACTGCTTTATCACATCGGTGACTCATGTTCATCCTGGAGTCAGAGACTCCAAGATCTCTTTCTGCCTCAGTGATGCTGAGAAGGTCGCCCCCCAGCCTATAGGTATAATGGCAGTTTTTCTTCCCTAGGTGCAGCACCCTGCACTTATCCTTATTGAATTGCATCCTGTTGTTCTCTGCCCACTTCCCCAACCTGTCAAGGTCAGCCTGTTTCAATGGAAACAAAATCCGGTCATTTGGATTCTCTTCAGTACTTGCTCTAGAAATACTCATATTGAATCACAGAGTCAAAAAGACACTGTAAAAGGCATTGCTTTCAATTTAGTAGGAGGAAAAAACCCTTAAATTATTATTACTTGCCTTTTCATAAGCATTTAATTTCATTTCTACCTAGGAGAACTTTTACAATCTTTTCTCCTATGCCGAAAGAAGGCTGTTTGTGCCTAAAAGCTTGCAATTAAAGATTTTTTTTTTTTTTGCAAAGATCTAGTTGGTCTTATAAAAGATATCACCTCTAGCACGAGTTCTGATTCCTTTTGCCTCTAGATCAACACAGCTACAACCTGGATACCTTTCAAGACCTGGGCATCTGTCACCAAAGTCACACTAATGTGACTCACAATATATTTTTTATTAAAGAGATGGCTGGTCAGAAATAATAAATAAACCAAATGTCTTCAAAGTGATTGTAAGCTGTGTATTTATTCAATCCAGTTGGCTGCCAAATAAAATGACTCCCAGAACATATGGTACAGTGCACTGGAATGCAGCAGGGGTTTTTTTTGCATTACAGATGTTTATAAAGCAGGAAGCTTAAGAGAAAAAGTGTCTGTTTTTTGCCTTTTAAAATAAGGCAAAAATTTCATCTGAAGTCTTATTTTGATTCTTGCTATTTTGGATTTTCAAGCTCCTGGCTTGAAATTGCCCACTTCCATTTTTCTCCTCTGAACCTATAGTTTTCAGAAATAGTGTCTTCCAGTTATATGACCTCTGGCCCGAGTTCCAGAAAATGATTTCATCATTGCACACCTTTATGACCGTACACAGCAATGCTCTGACACTAGGTGTCACAGAAGGTTAATCTTTATACGTGAACATAGTGAAATGAGCATTTCCTGTGCTGCATTTTTGTTGCAAAATGTAGTGAAACCTGGTTCGTGGTAATTATGTGTAAACAAGATGTCTCTACAACCTGAGCAGTAGCATTTGCTGCAATCTTTTTTGGTCAGCTATCAAGTCTTCTGCTTTATTCAGTGACATTTTTAAAGTATGCTAACCAGTAATTTCTTAGCATCTGAAAAAATACTGAGATCATTTAATCAAGGAAGTTTACAAGTAGATCCCAGGTGATGACTGTGAAAGCTTGGTTGGACCTACACAAGAAATTTAAATGACCAAATTAAAGTAACAGTACATCTTACACAAGAATGCAAGATTGTGACTGGGACCATGCAAAATAGAGCAATCCCAACTGATTGCATCTCCTGTGCTAGTTGCAAGTGTACCCAATGTTTTATTATGCTAAACCATTCATAAATAACTGCATCTCGCTATGTGACTGTATCCTCCTTGTTGACACATCTTCCCTTGATTGAGGCATATTTCTCGGAACAGGCATTCAATGTCTGTTTGGGGGTTTGCAAATGCCTCCATAGACCATCACTGGTTCAGAATATTTTGGGTTCTGCCCCACTGTTAAAACAACTACCCCGAACAGTGTCCTGTAATCAATGCCCCAAGGTATTCCATTCAGTCAATCAAGACCTGTCCCATTTATGTGTAACCTCCAGACTGATCAAACAACTCACAAAAACAAGTTTCACAACTGAATGACCCAAAACAGGATCTGAGCAGTTAGCAATTGTAATATGATGTTCTCTCCCTACCTGCTTTGTTTGGATTTTAAATCAACCAACTATCAAGAAGGAATGCTTTGAAACTATACAACTGAAGAGTATAAGAACGAAACAGTTGCCGGCAAAACCTGCCTCAAGAGGAAAGAAATCACTCAAGAACACAATAGCAGCAACTAAGCACCCAGCTCTTTTCAGGCTATGCATCCACACCTTGGAGGAAGCTGTAAGGATTCATATATTTCTAGGGTCAGAAGGGACCTATTAGATCATTGAGTCTGACCCCCTGCTCTGGGCAAGAAAGACAAGCACCTGGTTGGGGTCACTTGACCCCAGCCAGGTGCTTGTCTAATCTCCTTTTCAATACCTCCAAGGTAAGGGAAAGCACCACCTCACTTGGAAGCCCATTCCATATTTTTCAAGCCCTCACCATAAAGAATTTCTTTCTGATGTTCAATCTGCTCTCCTTCATTTTATGGCTGTTTCTAGTAAGCCTGTTGTCATGTTAACCCTGAAGTGTACTAGCTAAGATCCCATTCTTTTGATAACACCAAGGCAGTAGAAGGCCCTTGATGTCAACTGACTTGAATTCTACCTTTTGCATCTTTACTTCCCTTCCCACCCCAAACATGGTGGGGAAGGAACAAACCAGACAGACCTTAGAGTATGTCCTGAGCCAGTCATCAAATATGTTTTGGCAAACCCAGGAAAGGGAGCTACCTGTAGGGGTCAGGACCCTTCACTGAGAATATCATACTTGAAGCTGCTGGATCTACTTGCTCAAGGGCAAACATCCACCATAAAGTAATTTGAAGACAGCAGCACTAAGGTAGGTACATCCCATGAGAAAGGCTTTATGGTGAATTGCAAAATGAATCTCAGCCATAATTAACTGGTAGTCAGTGCAAAGGTGTAACGTACTGCCTATAGTAGTTGCAATATTTGCATGTTGTTAAGGCATAAGCAAATGCAGACCTCTGTTACATAAAATGAGACAGGTATTAATATATTCTACCCGTGTGATAAAACAAAAGACCTACACAGAACCAAGCTTGTACCAACAGAGTATGGAACATACCTGTTCATCTACCTTCCTCTGAAGTTGAACCACCTTGTTCTCCATGCCAATATTGAGTCTCTTTAAGTGCTCTGCTGATCGCGCCTCTATCTTCAGTGCCTTTAGCTCTTGCTTGGCCTTCATGCGCCTGTAGTAGCACTGGAGAACCACAGTGGCACACCTGAGGCGTAGAAACTGTTTACGAGCCAGCCAAGCCCGGGAGTGTTTCTGGATGATGGTAGCTTTGTGCTCCAAGAGTATCTAGGAAAAATAAAGTGTGTTAATTCAAGAGGCATTAGTGAAAAATGAGGATACACTAAAGCATAGAACAAAGCTGCCCTGGGCTGATAACTGTCCCTATCAAACAAACTGAATAGCACAACTCTATTTCCTATGTCTCTCTCTTTCACCCCAAGTTTTAAAGTAGCAATTCCTCAAACCAACGTTTTCTAAGAAAATAATCACAGGCATGATAAATAATAATCTAATGACTGCTATTTTAGAGGGTCTTTAGTCCTTTTCACATTTTCTCTTTTGAATGGCTCCTGTAATTATGCTATCCTACCACTTCAGACACTAAAGTACTTATTCTCACATGACCACATGGTGCCACGTTCCCCTCCTGGAAATTGCAGAAGTGAGACACAAAGAGATCAAGGCCCAAATCTACAAAGGTAGCTGAATGTTGCGAAGCTGACATGTTGCAGCTAACTTTCAGGCACCTGGATTAAAGTATGGCATCCATACCCCCTCAGTCAGGTGCCTGAGCTTCATATACAAAACATAGTGGGAGAGTCAGGCATCCCAGACAAGCCTGGAAGGGTTAAGCCAGAGAGGGAGCATGACTGGGCACTGCTAAGACGCTCATCATGGAGAGGGGAGTCCTGGGTTTTGGTCCCAGTTCACAAAATCGATTTATTTAAAAGATTGTGACAAGACATGTGCAAAATAGAACTGCAGGTACCTAAAGGGTTTTGCCGGCAAATATTTGTAGGTGCAGACAGGGTTAGAGAGGGGGTTTGGATCCAATAGTTACATTCATACTCTAGGCTTTAAGTTCTTTTGTTCATCTGGACTCAAGCAACATGTCCAAGTCACACACTGAATCTGCATCACAGAATCATAGACATCAAGGGCTGGAAGGGACTTCAAAAGATCATCAAGTCCAATCCCCCAGCTCTGGGCAGGAATACTATAGATCAAATGATCCCAGCAAGGTGTCTGTCCAGTCTCCTGCTGAAGCCTTCCAAGGTTGGAGACTGCACCACCTCCTTGGGAAGTCTATTCCAGACTCTGGTCACCCTTACCGTAAAGAAGCTCTTTCTTGAATCCAACCTGAAACCAGCCTCCAACAGTTTATGGCCATTGTTCCTTGTCCTCCCCTGGGGCACCTTAGTGAACAGTTTCTCCCCCAGCTCCTGATATTCACCCCTTACATACTTACAGATGGCTGCCAAGTCCCCCCTCAGTCTTCTCTTCCCCAGGCTGCACAGTCCCAGATCCCTTAGTCTTTCCTCATAAGGTCTGTCTGTGGTGGAGGAAGAAATGAACCTGGGTCTCCCATGTGGCACCCGTCTGCTCTGTGTTGCTGAGGGAGCCCTGGCACCCAGCTTGTTGGACTTGCAAAGGACTTTTTCTATACCTCCCCTCACCTCACACACACCTCATCTACCCAGAACTAAGCAGAAGAAAAGTTTAATAGGCATCTCGGGCTGTACATTTCCCGGTCCCAGTATGGGAGGCCTATTTAAACTTGATTGACTACAACTCGGTTGCCAGGTTAGGGAATGCTGAGGCAAGGGACCGAGTCAGAGGGGGTACAGGTGACATTCGAACAATGGTTAAGGGTTCATCACAGCATCCAGCCCATTGGAGTCCTGACCACAAATGCTGCCATACTTTTCCTGGGATGACTAGTGGAAGTCCTCCCCACAACATTTATAAAGTACTCCAAGTAATCCCCTTGAGTCTGTTAAAAGACTACAGTAAAATCTGAGAGTCATGCTAAGCTGAGGCTTATTCACAACAGGTAGAATACAAAACACTTATGCTGACTTCACAGTGCAAGCATGGCCAAGCCATCTGAGAAGAAACAATGTGGTATCCCTTCCAATATATTGTCTATATTCATAATAATTTCAAGCTGGCTCCTAGGTGTCTGGTTACTCCTTAAAACTTAAATGTTCTTCCTGGTTGTTAATCAGTTTCTTGAGATGTTCCAAACCAGATAACCCCTTGTCACTGAAAAAGGTAATTCATTTAAATTTAAACTGTTTATATAACAGGATTTTCCCTGTCAATTATGGTTTGGGACCCTCTTGATTTACACAATTAAAAGAATGCTTTGAAAAGGCTGGACTAAGGGTATAAGAAAGCTGTAAAGCAGCAAACAGTGTGCTTCAAGAGAGAAATTTCTGACACCATCTGCTGTTGTTCTCAAGAAGCTGGGAGAAACAGATAGTCTTCCTTCAAGGATTCTGCTGGGAACTTTGCTGGTCAAATAATCACCCGAGTGTTTTGGAATGGTAAGATCCCAGCTGTCATTCTCTCTCTTTCGCTCTCTCTTTTTCTTTTTCTCTCTAGGCATAGCTTTCTGAACCTACATTGTATTAGTTAAGCTTGAGCTAGGTTTCCCCAAATACTCAATTAAACCAGGGTAATATTGTAATTGTTTTTGTTTGTTTTCCCTTGCAAGTCTATTACTACTAGTACCATTATAAATTTCATATACTTAGCAATAAATAACTTTTTTAGTCAAACTGGTGATAACCAGGTGTATTTTTCCTTCTCTACTTCCCCTTCCCCACTTGCTCTGCAGCAATGCTTCTTTTACCTAAACCAAAAGATCCCTGTGAAGCCCAGAAATACCGTGGGGTCTGCTCATCAAGAGGCTACCACTACTAGGACAGTTAGGGCAAAAGATTGAAAAGATTGGGACGTGCTGAGTTTCAGACACGTAAGAGGATCAGCTTGTACAGGCTGATAGACCCAGTTTGGCTCAGACGTGCCTTAATGAACTGAATGCTGGCCCATGAAGGTGTCAACTGGACACCCAGCCAGATTTGGAGGTATTCTGTTCACCTGTGTGTTTGTGTCTGACTGCATTTTATTGTTACCTTAATGAACTGATTCCTGGCATATAAGGGTGTCAGCCTGTACATGCCGATCAACCCAGTGTGTGTGGGTGGTATAAGACTGATTTGGTGGCTGGAGGAACCCAGCCCCACTGAACCCGAGTTCTGCAACATAGCTCCATTGGGGGTCAGGACTTGCAGAAGGGAGAGATACAGCTCCATACAGAAACACAAGTAACACAAGCAACACATTGATAAAATTACAAAGACCCTAAAAATGTATCCCTAATAAATGAGCACACCCCAAGGTGATGGGCAAATCTAGTAACACATCTCTGGCTATTGCTAAACGACTATCATTTTTCCTCACGGAGCCCTTCCTTTTATCTATGTGGAGTTTGAGCCAAAGTGACACAAATCCATTGACTTGGAGAGCTTTAGATGAAGCTCACAAAAGATTCAGATGTCCTGGTGCCCAAAGCCATCTGATTGTTCACAGAGCAAATACAGAATATACAACTGTCATCTATGTACCTTTACTCTGACCCGAAGAAATAACTAGTACATTTTGAGCTTGGTCAAAATGAGGTCTTGACCTCATTCCTACACCCCCAACAGATACAATTTTTTTCAAATACCCATGCTTGAACTGCTTCTATGAAGTACAAACTCTAAATGGACTTATTTGCCCAACTCCTTTCCATGTGCTGTACATGCCCACTCTGTGACCACAGTTTAATAGTTGGTAGGGTCAGAAGAGACCCAAGCAGATCATCAAGTCCGACCCCCTGCCATGGGCAGAAAAAAAATACTGGGGTCAAATGACCCCGGCTAGGTGATTGTCTAGCCTCCTTTTGATGACCCCCAGGGCTGATGTTTAAAAATTGAACCTCTACTATACTAATTTGTTTTATTGTGTCCACTGACTGCTTTGTAGAGTCACACGGACTTGCCAACATATGGCAAAAGTCTCGTTATCCTTTCAATGACATGTGTTGCTGACTAGGCTTTGATTTTTCTGAAAGTGACTCAGTTTTACATTATAAAGATTATTTTTAATTGTGATGTTTAATAAAAAAAGTGCATGTGGCAACGTATCACAATATGGATAACCTGTAAGCAAAATTCTGCTTAAAGGTCACATGACTTTACAACCAATTTTCTTGTACCACTTAATTCCTACAAACTTATTAAGTTCAGTCAAGTAAAACTTATTTTCTTGCATTTCCAGCTAATTTTTCCAAATCTGATCTTTAATACATTCAGCTTCAAACAGGAGCCCCAAAGTTTTCCTAGACTGAACTATGCTGCAGTCATTTAAGAAATAAAATAGACGGAGTCCAAAGCATTAGGACTGCTCAGTTGTCCCCGGAAAGCAGCACTGCACAAACTTCATAGAATTTCTGTAACATCCAAGGGCTTGCGTATACTTGCAAGCTAATCTGGAATAAGGGAGCATGTGAATTTGAAGCATAACTCTTCTGAAACAATTTTGTGCATAAACAAGCCCTTGGCCTTGACCTGCAGCCATCCTGTAAGTTTGAATCTTGCCTCATGAAGAGAGACTGCCAAGGACACCAAGTTTCATCAAGTATATTGTGGTCTAGAGACGTGAATGGCTAATCATAATGAACTAGTGAGAAAGCTTCTGAAGTCATTTTGTGACTTAAAAATCAAGGTTTACACTAATATTTTCAGAGGATGATAGGAGAATATGGGGACAATGCTGCAAAATATAGCTTTGGCTACATATCAGGATTCGTAACTGAACTATTCCAGTTTCCAGCAGGGGTTGGCAATCTGTGGCCTGTGGGCTAGATCTAACCCATAAAATCATTAGCTCTGGTCCATGGATGTGAGGTTTCATCAGCATTTGGCAGGGTAGGAAGGCACTTGCCTCTGACTCGGGCTGGGTCATTCCAGCCCACGGCCAGAAAAAATTGCCTACCCCTAGTTTATAGTTATTCAGATTCCAGAAGCCTGCTTTGTACCAAGTCTTCAACACTTAATTTTTGAGGTGAGACCAACAAAATAGATAATTAAAAATTCATGTTTTTGAATGGTGCTAGAAGAAAAAAAAAAAAAAGCCCTGAAGATGGACACCCCCAATCTATAAAACCAGTGTTGC